GCCTACCAAACTCACTTGAATAACATTTACTCAGCACAGCTGGCAAAAAGCAGACCTGAAAACTCCAATCGCTCTGGGTCAGATGTAAGGGCACAATGCATGAGCAGGTAGATCTCTAAAAAGGTAAACCGAGTTTAATGCTTAGAGACAACCATCCTACCTAGACTCTTGTGACTTGAGACCAAACATTCCCCTGGGAGTGTGGAGGGACTCTTTTCTACTGAGCAAAGAAAATCAAAGAAAGAAGACATGACTCAAAAGAACCTCGATATTAACAAAAAGATGCATGACTAGAACTTTCAATTGGAGCCCTTTGCCAGAAAGCTTCAGCAAGGGGAAGCATGAGGCAGCTTTGCCAAGACAATGACAATGACTTAGCAAAGGCTGAAGTCTTAGCAAATACCCTTCCTGCTTCTGACAACTGAGTCCAAGAATCCAGCAATTTTTGAACCAGATTCTGTTCTTCGAGCAAAACACTCACTTATGGAGCTGGGAACAAATGGGAGAAAGTGGGTTGGCACCCACTGTTTACTTCTCCCTTGGATTCGCTTTCTCTTGCTGGCATCTCTAATATAGTAGGCATGTGGGAAGCAACGCACCTTCTGGGAAGGAACTACCTAAAGCTCAAGCCAGGAAGCTCCGGTGTGAGATCCTTCAGCCTGGCCTAGGCACAGCTCTCTTGGCTTGGCCATAGTTTTGCTGTGGTTAAGTATGTGCAGATCTAGCTGCTTGGTGACTTGCAAATATCTCAGAGATACCAGCATGAAAGGGAGACGGCCTAGGAGACCAGGAACAAGCAAAACAGCTTATTTTCCAAGAGAACGGATTCTAAATTCTATAGGAGAGTCAGCTCCTTCCCCTTTCCGGGACATCCTCAGAAAGGCATACATGTAGGCTTATAGACTTTTGGAAAGAAAGTGGTGGTCTCTAGGAGACAACACAAGTTCTCTGAGAGAAAGTCATTCCATGCTAACCTCATTTCCTGTTTTGACGAGCCTCACCAGCACAGTCGATTAGGGGAATGCCCCAGAAAGTGTGTCTTGCTTTCAGTAAAGCATTTGAAAATCTCTCATCACATCCTATTTATGTAAGGTACAATGATGGGCCCAATGATAGTATGACCAGGATACAAAATTAACAGGACAGCTATCCCCACAGAGGGTCAATTTATGGCATCATGTCAATCTCAAGACTTCTGCAATCACCTCAACTACTACAGGTGGTTCCACTAGCCAGGCCACCCCTGAGGTTCACTCTCTATCCAATCTGTTCAGGCCTCTGTCCACTGGCAAGTGTGATTTGAAATGACTGTACAGTGGAGAAGCCTCCTCCCACCCTCACCCACTCCACTATCACCAGTGTTAGCCTGTGGATAGACAATACAGACGTCCTCTGGAAAGAGTCAGAAATGATTCTCATGCAGATGCACTTGTGTACTTTTCTACCTAAGCTTTTAAAAGAAACTTGCAAGTAGATACTAAAGGCCTGTTTACCAAATTTGCTGATCTCACAAAGCTCCAAGGAAGCAATATCCTCAAAGAACCAAGTCTTAAAGGTTAGAAAGCTGGAAAGATCAACTATGCACATTGGCTTCGAAGCACACATGCCATTAAGTCCTTGAGTGTGGCCAGGGATGTGAAAACCAAGCCTTCACTTTTTAATTCTTCCTGGAATATGGAGCTCTCTTTGCAGCATGTTAGTTGGATGCTAAAAGTCCCTCCCCACCTTATTTTGTTTTGTTGTTTTTTTTTTTTTTTGGTCGGTCGTGGGGCTTGAACTCTGGGCCTGGGCGCTGTCCCTCAGCTCTTCAGCTCAAGGCAGGCGCTCT